ATATACTCAATAAATTATGCGCAGTAGAATACATATATATATATATATGTGTGTAGTATTGGGAAACGGTATGCCGGCAGTGTTTCTGTGTGATGCCATTGCTTTCACCCGGATTTGCCCATGTGAGATCGAATTGTCTTAGCCAAAGAACCCAGCAGTTCCCCAGGCAGTTGGAGATATGAACCGGAAGATACACAGTGCGAATGAAAAGAAAGCATCGACCAACACGTGGTCAATCCCTGAGCGTCGGCTTTTAACAGGGGTATAATTCATGAGCAACTTCCCAGCGCCATCGCCCAGGTCATCTGGCATCAAAACAGCCGTCGTGAGCGAAATCGATGCGATGGTGTCGCGCCTGTCGAAGATCCGGTTGAAGATGCAAGCAGCCTTGGATGCGGGAGCGGAGGAGCTCTGGGTTTCAGTGTTGTGAAAGGATCCGAGTTATCAAATGTGGGTGGTATACAACATATATAAGACTATAAGTACTGGCTACCAAACTGATAGGATTGTTTTCCAATATACACAAGCGCAGGACAGCCGCTTGACAAATGTGCTGACCGAAGCTGAGAAGGGCCTGGAAAATTTTGATGAGCAGATGGAACCCATCACTGGCAAGAAAAGAAAAGCCGGTAAGGGCGACAAGTAGCTGCATTTCTTTTAAGCTCCAGAAAGACATCTTTAGCAAAACGCATGCAATAGCCGTTAAGTCTTTCCACCAAATAGTGCAAGGATAAGGTCGACATTCTAAAACTGTTTCCCTATAGTCTTGCAATCTGGAGGGCTTCCGTTGCTTTTCAACGGAGTTGGGGTGTGCTGGCGAGCCAATCATTGGCTTTAGGACTGAATCAGTGGCTGATGCGCGGCCTTCCAGCACTGAAGGGGTACACGTAGACTTCATGAGCAAACAACGACCGACAGCTGCAAAAAGACTTAATGCTTGCAATGCCTGACTGGACTGTTACCGTAGCATCTCATGCATACATGTCCTCCTGGTATGGTCAGCTATTCCCACACAGGTGATGAATCGGCACGAGATCACCAAGTCGGGAGTATACTAGACAACCTCGCTAGTGGTGTCCCTCGGCCGCAAAGACAATTTCAAATTCTAGATCTAGATCCAGATGACATGAAACTTTGCAGAACTAATCTATAAATATTGTTGAGGTGGATGGATTCCAAAAAGACCCAAGGCTTCTGTATCACAACAAATGAAAGAAGTGCACGCCTGCCTAAAAGACCCCTGGGTTGCACTTATAACTCTGCTGGTTTCTTTGTCATTTGCAAGTCGCTTAATCACTGCAAATCTCTGTTGAGGACACCCCAGTTGGACTACCTGAAACAATCAGCAAGTTAGGCAGCTATAGCGGACACAACCCAGCCAGAGATTTCCGTTCTGTGTTTAAGCCTCCAGTGGACAGGTTTGAATTTGCTCGAAAATATGTTTTAAACAAAAACTCACGAAGTCAGAAACGAACCATGCCGTGTCATCTCATGAACTCCGACCAATTGAACTGTACACTTGAACCCCTGGAGGACACGGTTTTGGTGAACACCTTCGTCAAAGGCAAACTCCGTGAGAGTGATCCAATTCCTACTGAAGTTCCTATGATACTCCCTGAGGACTTGCTTCGGTACCTCTTTCAAACCCTGGGTGTTGAGATGCCTTCTGGATCAGTTGCAGCATACTGGAAACATGCTCATTCTGTTGGTTGCCCGTGGGGACGAGCTTCAACTGGGGTGCACATTCCGTGTGCCCTATATGGGGACAGTGCAAAGTTCAGTGCGGCAGGTGAGAAGATCACATGCATATTCCTCTCCCTGCCGTTGTGGAACCCAAGATCGGCGAGACTGTCCAAATGGCTCTTGTGTTCACTGGAGACCAATCAAATGCTTGGTGGGCTTACGCTGTTTCCTATCTATCGGAAAATAGTGGAATCGATGCTTAAGCTGTACAAAGAGGGAATCCAAGTCAACGGACAGGTTCTCCAGTTCGTGGTGACAGAGCTCAAAGGGGACTGGGAATGGCATGCATATTCGATACAAATGACTCGGACCTGGAAGAATTCTCAGTTTTGTTGGCGGTGCAATGCTTCCAAGAAATTGGATGATGATGGGTCGAGCTACTTAGACTTCCAAGACAACCCTGGCTGGGTAGTGTCCGAGTTCTCCCAAATTGAGTTCCTGGCAAAAATCATCCAGACCAATAAACCTGGCGGAGCATGTGCTTTCGATGCATATTAATCATGAAACAAACAAATGTACAGGTGCCTGCGCCTAGAAGCTACACCAATCTCATGAGCTTTGCAACCTTGCGCACCTGGTGAACATTTACCATGCTCTCCACTGAGGTCCTTTGATTCTCCTCCCTCACTTCCACTACACCATGATCAGGCACTGCTCAATGCACAATGTGAACTTGGGAATAGCCCAAGTGGCCACTGGGTCGTCTCTGTCTCTGAGTTGAAGAGTGGGTTGAGGAACATTGATTCGATCGTAGTAGTCCAATCTCCAGCCTACTTACTCTGAAGCAAAAGAACCTGCTTGTTGTTTCAGATGTTGTGGCATAAAGAACTAGTTCTGGGTGGCTCAGAAAATTCAACCCGAGGCTTTTGCTCACGCAGCTGGGTTTCTTTGGAGATTGTGCAGCCACATCACTTCCAGATCTGTTGCTGGTGGCCTACAAGGACTTTAGATCTTGGTGCAAGCTCAATCGCGTCTTCTGTTCACAACCTTTATTTACGGTCTCCCAAGTGACCTGGTATGATCAAGTATCTGGTGTGAAATTGCTCCAAATTTAAAGATGTATATGTGGTCCCACCTATATTGCGTGATGAAAATGATGATTAGGTATGGAAGTCCACTTCTTTGGGGGCACATCTCACATCGAAAGCCTACAACTCCAGAGTTCTTGTGGCTTGGCTAGCTTCCTGCCTCGACTTAGCTGTTCGGCGAGACGTTGAAGATGGCCGCCTGTTTGCCCGGTGGCTGCATGAGACTGGTCAAGACTGGCCAGATCATGATCTCTTGGTACCAACAGCTGTTGCAATGATTCCCTCTGGAATTGCTGGCAAATCTTTTCAATCTTTGCAATCGGGTCGTGTGTTTGGTTGTGACATGTAGGAGTCCATGCCTTGTTCGACAATATTGTAGAGAAATAAGGAATGCTATGGCAAAGAACTTCTGGTTGATCGAGGATTCTCTCATGATTTTGCCACTTGCCCCCATGATGGTGTGGGTGCAACGCATGCCGACCAAGATTTGCATGCATGCAGTCACTATGTTTGTATGTTGCAAGACTCTGCATTGTTTATTCGTGGGCCCAATAACTCAGGACTCAGGAGCGTGCAAACGAGATATACGAAAGTGGCATGCAATACCTCAGGGCTCACAAGGTGCTCACTATGATATCCCAAAGGTTCCCAAGCTGATCTGAATCACCGCCCGCTAGTTCAACTTTAAATCTGGAGTTTGTTGTTTGTTTTTGTCGCTATAGCTGGCTATACGCGCTATCTATTAAGCCGTATTGAGCATCTTCGGTGCACAAGTGCATGTGCAAGGCATGGAATTCTTTTCTGGAATTGCCTTCCAAAGCTCCATGAATCTGGTCGCAATTAATTATATAATTAGAGTGCGACTGTCGACACTAAGCGCTACATATTTAATTTCATGATGGCAGTCCCACTCGTGATTGAATCTTCCGCTTATATTTTGAGGCATTCCATCACCAGCTTCGTGACTGCCAAGCTTACCGTCACTTGCCGTTTTTAGTTTCATATGTCATATGTGCATGCATCTAGGCATGTGCGCGTGTGAGCTCAAACATGCTAGGCTTCAACTGGCGGCATGTGCACTGCTTCTTAGAGGAGGACCAAATGAAATGGGCCAAGTGCAACTCGGTTGGCTACTCATGGCAATGTATTCCACTAAAGCAGTTTCCAAATTATCATGCTAGCCGTGAGTACGATCTTGGCAGCGCCACAAAGGTGTATGCCAAAGAGCTAGCCGTACAAACCTTGGCAGATCTGTGCTTAGAGCGTCGCACTTCAGGCGGCTTCGGGTTAACACGCACATGCTTAGTTTCAATGTGCATGCAGGTGCGCATGGATATCACACATGTGTGTGAAATTCCTGTGCAGGTTGCTGGCAATGAAGCAGCATCTGCGAAAGCTCAACGCTCACGCGAAACGCACGTGGGAAAAGACCGCGCCTCAAAGAGCGTGAACTCGATGGCGGCTGCAGCTGCTTGTGTGATTGCTGCAGCGTCTCGTTGGGGGCTGGCAGGGGATCTAGTGGATATCAGTAAACCATGGCCATTAAGTAAATCACGTCCCTTCTATCAACGACTACGTTTAACTTGTCCTTTAGACTTGCTGGGACATGTGAGTATGAGGGAGGGGTAGGATCCCAGCCTTCCTGAGTGTTTTTGCCAAGTAATTTTGCGCTTCATGTTCAGAGACCCGGGGGGCTAGTCGTCCTGCCCTGAAAACCGCGTGGATCAGATTCTGGACCATTTGGAACTGCAGGCCTGACATTATTACTTTTTGCTCCCAAATAACACCAAGTGACATCGATCCTGCGTTTGCCCCCCAAAAAGGAATCCATCACCACACAGTGGGGTGCCTGAGGGAGGTGATGCACGAACAAACAAATATCATGACGTAACATGGCACAACATACTATGCTTTTGTCCCTTTGGACTGGACATGAGCGCGAGAGTGCTTGCCAATAATTGAACCCACTGACTCATATTGTTCAAATGAGTTGAAACCACCAACCAGTGGCAATATTGAGCATCATGATCAGTCAGGAGATGTCAGGAGTCAGGCGATTCTGGGCACCACATGGCGATGCAGGCATGGTGCGCATCCATATCTAAAAGAGTTCCAACCATAAATAAACCATATCATAAAAAATCCTTCATTGACCTAACCAATGTCAAGGTTGATCCTGCCCCAACTCCTCCTTGCCACCGTCGCGGTCCAGCGCGCCTTTTGTCGCAGGACTCTTGTCCGTGGCGCCCAGCGGCTTTGAAATCGAGCTGTCGGCCGCTCGGCCCGTTGACACTGGATGTATTCCTTCTGTGGAGAGTAGCTGAGTAGCCGCTTTATTCGTGTGCCGATGGGCCCTCTCGAGCTGTACGTGGGTTGGAACAATTAAACCTCTATGTTACACGGGTGCAGGGGCACTAGCGCCAAAAACTTAAAGCAGAGCCAGCCAAACAAGGCCAAAGGTATCAATTTTGAATATCTCAAGCAAGCTTAGTTTGTTTCTTGCCTGGCTCGAGCAATATGCGAACGAATCTGAATGTTGTCAAAAACATGAGCAAATCCGGATGGTGTCAAAAGCCCTGGAATTGGTCTGTGTGCTCAGAATGGCCATGGAGCCGTTTGATGCACCCATCATACCCCAACGCCGTGACGTGTTCACACGGACCACCACCAGCCACAGGTCAGGCGTAGCCACCGCGGCCAGGTGCCCCCTCACACCCGGCCGGTCGGCCTGAGTGGGTCCTCCTTCCCTCGATGTGGAGCTTCTTCGGAAATCCGGAGACCTGCATTGTGTAACCCAGACACGACCTGTCTGGGACTGCCAGCTTTTGCATACATTTGGTGGTTGATTTCCCGGGGTCAATGCATAGATAGTAGGTCCTTTTCTGTAGGGGCGGGATAGATTGTTGTCAGTATATAGATCTCAGGTGGTTTGCCAACTGGCTGTTGAAAGAGGGGTTTGCTCAAGCCAAATCGTGGGGCAAGGTCCAAGAATCCACATGGCGTGCCTTTGTTCCGGTCATCATTCCCATGCCTCAGGATGAGCAGCGTTTGCAGTTCTCTTGCGACTCAGTACAACATCTACATCGCTGGCTCGAGGCGGCCGTCACGTGGCGCGACTTGGGCGTTGGGCGGCGTTCCTCGTGCAGCAGTGGTGAAGCTGAAGATTGTGGCTTTGTGATGGACAGACATGATCTATATTATATCATCATTATTGAGTATTATTATATTGATCTATTTGGTTTGGGCTCCAGTTACCCTTCTTTGTACAGCACTCTTCATTTTCTCTCCCCATTGCGATGCCTTCGAAGCGACTCCACTTCATGGTCCCCAACGGTTCTTCAACCGCTCTTTTACCGCGCTCTTCAGAAGCGTTCCGGCATCTCCACATGGCGTCCGGAGCAGCAACGACGTCCGGAGGAGCTGCGGAAGTGCTTGCAACCGCCGATTCTCACCGACTTCCTCAGCGAGTCCAACGACCCGGTCAGGTCGGACCGGTCGGTGGAGCGGAGAAGCGGAGCGGAGAAGCGTAGGCGGAGAAGCGGGGCAATGGTCCGGTGCAATCGTCCGGGGCTTGGGAGGTGAAGGTTCAAGGTTCAAACTGGGATTCCCCCCAGGTTCTTGAACATCAACGGAGTTCAGTTGGCCGAACACAAGACCTTCAAGAAGTGCAACAGTGACTTTGAGCGATTACAAAGAACCACGCAATTCTTTTCCTTGTTCATTCCCAAGCTCCAAAACCCTTTGAAACATGGAACCCCAGTCCTGCACCAATACACCCGTTACATGCTTGTACTATCCTGTAACCAATAGGTATGTCACTCCGCACTTTGTAGTCAATTTGGCCACTCAGGATCTTTCCGAGCTGATCCCAACTTTTATGACTTCCTGGATGCCAGCCCAACCAACAAGACCAAGGCGTTTGTTTTGCAACCCGGGAAGTGTCACAGCGGGCTCTGATGTAATGGTCGCGCCACTTCAACCTCAAAGCTTTACAGCCCAAAGTAGCAGCTAGCAGCTAGGTTTAGACCACCTATAGCATTCAGATCCTCATCAAAAGTAGCATCAAAAGTAGTTTGCCATCCCCGAGGCCACGCAGGATGACTGGCGCGATGACGGGCACCGCTGCACCACTGAGGGAGGCGGAGCTCTTCGACTTATTTGCCGAGCAGCCCGGACCTGAGCCGTGGACAGGTCCAGTCTGACCGACATCGGTCCTGGTCCCTGGTGAAAACCCAACTCATTGAGTATATACAGTCATGTTTCTGTATTGATCAACTCCAGGTCCCAATGAGGTCCGTTCCTGACCTGATCAATACCTAACTCATCCGTTGACTCATTCGTAGCAGGGGGGTAGCGACACTCTCTCGCCGTGATGCAGCGTTCGCACCATGCTGTGCGGGCGTGGAACAGATGACCCGCGCCCTCATGAGTCCCACAGTCCCAGCTTCAAAGAAACGGTATGTTGCTTTCTTTCTCAGAAGGTGGTATCTGACCGTCTCCACTGTATCCTAAATGATTCCTAAAAGAGGTGGAAGCGCTAAACCCAACGACCTAAGGAAGTAGTCTGTATAGTCTGTATCGTCAACCATCCGTAGTCTCACCTCATACGAACGGCCTCTTCTGAAGTCGCATTGTTATGGGGCTCCCATTCACTCGACCAGAGTCGAATACAACGCATTATCACTTTCAACTCATCGTTTCTCAATGAGCTCAATGTTTCACAAACATCCGGCCCGTATCCGGAGCTGAAGAATCATGGTCACAATCCACCACAGATTAAACAGTCAGCTCAGGATATCCACCACATGGTCCTCATGGTCACAATCCACCACCTATCCATCATCAGAACTCCACATTCAGATTCACAGGTCGCCGAGCAAGCCAAGCACCGCCAAGAACCTGTCCTTTTCAGTGACTTGGAGCGGTACACTGTGGAAGAGACGGTTTTCTGCTCATGCGAAAGACGGGGTGTTACACTAAAGCTCATGAGGGATTGAGTATAAGTTAGACAAACTTCTTGCCCACTTGAGAACACTATTCTAGGGATGATGTGCTTAGAGTCCAATCTCCACCGGTTGTTCTCATGGTTTGTAATTAGGGGTTCATCTCACAAGCTCTGAAGATCTCCAACCTGCCGACCAAGTTAGAGGTCACTGGCACCGCGACAACCATCTTGACACGAAAGGCCTAGTATTTGTTGCACCATTTGCCGGAATGTCCCAGTTTCCCACATCCACCCCTTTGGTGTCCCGGAGAACCGTCTGAATCCTGGCAGGTGGTTGAAGCGGGGCCCAGTTTACCCAGCACTCCCAGTGGGCACCGGCCGGAACAGCTGCGGAAGCGGTTGATGCTCTCGGTGGGTGCCGTCGAAGGCGACGGGGATGGGAGATGGCTGGTATTGGTATGGAGGTGTGATGTGCTAAAGATGGAACTTGATCACCAAGACAGCTCAATGGTTAGGGGTGGTAGGTTTGATTTCTGCATGAGGCAAATTTGGGACTGACGCATGTGGGTAACTATCCGAAAGGCTTCTTGTCAGTCAGTAAACATCTTATACCTAAACATAATAAGACCTTGTTTAGGTAAATAGTATTACCTGTGATATATTTAATATGACCTTTGCAGGTAATTACTACAGGCTTATACCTAAACCACCCCAAATGTGGCACCATCTATGCGAACAGAATCAAGCTGAAGAGTAAGACCATCTACATGCCCTGACGATCAGGGTCGGGTGGTTCCAGAGCCGGACTCACCTGAACCCCTCAATCTGGAGAAATCAGGTGGTTCCTATAGCCTTGCGGTGATGATTGGATGCTGGATTTCTCCCCAAATCCCATCGATTTGCGGGTCCAGAAAGCCGAACCGTCAAGATGCCCCCCGAGAGGTCCGCCTCACCTCATTTTGCTGGCTCTGCGCCATGACGTTCTCGAGAAACTGCCTCAGGGGAGCCCGACACCCCGCGGGAGAAGTCCGTGGAACGCGCCAACTCCGATGATGAGGCCCGGCCCAGCAGCGCATTGGAGACCAAGCGTTTCCTGGGCGGACGGAAGGGGTTGGGGTGTGTCATAGGCGTTACATTGTGTGTTAACTGTTTTTCCCTTGCACTGCCTGGAATTGTCATGGAAGTGGATGATACGGCCATTTTTTGAATGCGGACTTCCATGACTATTTCAGGGAGTGTAGTGGCTTTAAGAGGCTCATGGATGTCATTGGTCCATGTAAGGATGGGAAATGGTTCAAACAGGAGCAATTCGAGCTGAAGGAGAGTGAGCGATGGGGTATGATATAATGACTTTTGGATGAAAACCTACGAAGAGTTTCAGAACTCGTGAACAGGGCATGGCCTTCATTGATCCTCAACTATAGGGTTACCACAAGCTGCTTAGGCATCCTGATCCCAAAACTGCTGCTTTAGGCAGGGTTGGTGCGCTCCAAAGTTTTTTCAAGGGCATGAACATCAGGACTGGTGACGGGAGTGTTTTGGGAGTATACCGTGTACATCCGAAAAAGCACCGAGTATACCGTCTTAGTCCCTAACAAAAACACCACGTCGCCAACGGGCTTCGCTCCAGAGGTGCCTCCAAGGGCGGCTTTGGTGGCCACCAGCAGCTTTTGCGCCCTAGGTGCGGTGTCAACGATCCGAGATCGATGCAGTGGTGTTTAGAAAAACCGCCACCAGCATCGTCCTAACTTGTACCAGAAAATGACATTAGTCCCTAAATGTCCCTAACTACTCGTACTGTCCTTTACAAGTATTGTAGTCGTTGTGGAACATGTGTCGCTCACAACTCACAACTGATGCTCTCCTTTCTCCCTCTGTTGACCTCAGCCAGAACAAAGGTTCCTGTGGCGTTGAACATATCCCAGGTGGAGATCACCTTCCATGTTGTTTTGCATCGCATGTAAGCTATACCAGCATTTGGGTGCTGGGATGCAGTACAGTATAGATAAGATGATTTTGGGGTCATTTGGCATTGCCACCGAGACTGGACCGTCTGCGGATGGGCGAGCCGTTTGTGGCCTCACCGGTGTTGGATTGACTCTCCTGGACGCTCAACCGAATCGCTTGGGTGGCAGACGGGCCCAACCCACCGGAAAGGTCCGGGACAAAACTTCTTCTCCCGAGCAGCTTCTGCAGTTCAAGACCCTTTTGGAGCCCTTTTGTGACCTCAAACATCCTCAAACCATCTCAAACCAAGAGATATCAAAAGGTTACCTTGAAGAACCAGGGACACAACACAATTCCCAGAACGCTCCATGGGTTGGGGACCTATCGGCACCTCCGGATGGCACCCAGTCGTCGCACCACAGTTTTGCACGGCGCAGGTGATTTGACCAAGCCCGAGCAGGTGCCCGATGCTTTGTCGCAGCTACACCAACTGGAGGCCTCCGCTTCCGATACTTTGTACCATTGAGAGGCGATGCTTGTTTGCGCCCGACGGTACGGAGATGTGAAGAAAATCTTGGCGTCGACATTGGCAATTAAAGGAGACTATCCCTGCAGGTATGAAGTGCAAGTTCAACGAGTACCTGTCGAAAAGAACATGTTTAACGATGTTTAACGAGGGCATTGACTTGGAGGGTACAGGTGTTGGGACGGGGAGATGTTTGACATCGGTTGGTTAGTTTTGCCATGATATTCTGGACGCAGATGTTTGACCCCCCTTACACACACACACACCTTACACATGGGCCAATGGCAGCTGTCAGACTTGCCAGAGATTGGTTGCCTCAGCTGGGGCCTCTATTCCAAAAGCAATCACAAAGAGAGGAGTTTCTGGCTGGACTTGTTGGGCTGGTTTTCTTGAAGCCTGGAGTATCCTGGACCACCCTGGACCTATCACACTCTGGACCATCCTCCCCGGCAGATGGGACGCTCCCACGACGGGACCTCCGTTCCAGGTGGAGTTGCAGGGCGTGGTCGAGACCTGGTCGCGGACCTTGTTGGCCACCGAGGCGGGCGCATGGCGGGCGCGACCGGGCGGCGCGGGGCGAGGAAGAGCGGTTTCGGACGTCCGTTGATTTTGGGATGTTTGGGGAGGACAGTGGATGGGACAGAGGTGTGGACCCGAGGTAGATGTTGGAAGATGTTGGAGAATGTGGTTGGTCAAAGATTGTGTCACTGATGGGGGTGTCATGTTGGGATGGCTTGGGATCAGAACTGGAAGTTTGGGAAGTTGTGGCATACGTGAAACCTGGAGATGGGGAGATTGCCAGAGATCCGGCACCAGCTACCACGAGGGACGTACCAGGTTTTGCCCGAGTGACGCTGATGGTCAAAAATGTTTGGTCAAAAATGTTTGAAGCGTCCAAATTAAATGCCCCAATATATTCAGTGAGGTATGTTCTAAGATGTGTTAAAGTTCATATTGTGCAATGAAGCATGTGTGGCTGATTATGATTGTAACTATTAATAATCATGGTTTGGCTATGAGTGTGTATACTTATAATAGTTGTGGCTTTGAGGAACTCGATGCTTCTATTGTCATATTCCAGTTGTTTGATGCGCTTGCGGTGTCAATACCGTTCTTGTGTTCAAGCCGTTGGTTGGAGAACACCGTTGAAACTGTGATTTCCTCTCATGACATGCTGTAGTCACATGCCAATTGCACTTGCCCAGATCATTCGCAGAAGATCGGCCCCAGGATCTTCACGTTGACCCGAGCTGCGGAGGCCGATGGCCGTGCCTTACTGCGGTCCTTTGGTCTCAATGCGCAGCCGGAGACGCTGCACGACGCCTCACAGCAGCTCCTACAGGCAGAGGGTTCAGCAGATGGGCCGGCCTACAGGCTAGGATGGTTGAGCCCCGAGCTGCTCAACAAGTCAACTCTTTGGTGGCTTGAAGGGAACATGGAACCAAGGAGGTTTGTCCCTCTCCCCTTTTTTCCCCTTTGCAAAAAGCGAATGATGGAGCTACAGGGACTTCCCCGCACACTTGCAGATCTTTCCAAGGTTGAAGGTGCGCTCCTGTGGGTTCGGGTGGGTTCCAACCAGCAGGTTTGATTTTTACTTAGTTGTGAACCTTTTTTGGCAGTTTGTGTTTCTAACAGAGCGTTGTATAGTTATATATATATATATGTAGTCATTGTATAGTTACAGTCCCCAAATTGTGGTACAACAGACTTAGATTGTGTGTTTTTTGACTTTGACTCTGACTGTTCGTGTGCTGTGGCATTTGTTTGTCCTTGTGGAGCAAGTGGATGGGTGGTCAAGTTCAGTCTGGACGGTTTGACACGGGCTTCAGAGCAAGGGAAACCGACCCGACTGGGCTCCCCCACATGGGCTTCGCAGAAATGGGGTTCTGCGCTCTTGCCCGTCCGATCTTTCAGTTTCGTGCTGATCTGTATGGATCTGAGTGCGAGGGTCAGGAAGGCTCCATGCCAAAGTTTGGTTTATACATAAACTTTGGCATGTGAGTCATGTGAGCATGTTGAGCCAGAAGTTGGTTCTAGGGGGGCTGTCACCTGTTTCGGTAGCGCCTCGTGTCTGTGTTCAGATACCTGCCTTTGTGGTACGCCTCGTCCAGGCCTTGAGCACGTTTCAGCAGCAGCTTCGTAGCTCAGCGCGTCCTGGGCGGACCCGCCGAGACGGGGGGGCCTTGTTGGATCTAGTGGACATCTATGGACCATCATGTTAACTTGGTTGGCAATGAACCTGGGACCCGGGGGGTCGGCTTTTGCACATGTGTTCCAAAGGTTCAGGTATGATTTCATCATATGTTGAGTTTCACTAATTAAGTTAGTATCTCTTTTGCACATGGTAGGTGCCTGCATAGGTCTTCCAGCATTTTGCCTGGGACGTCCGTGATGTTGCGGTTTCGGTGTCGATGGTTTCTCAAGAGAGGGATCGTAATCCTTGGGGTTCCTTGTCTTTGTTTCACCGTCTTTTGAACAATGCGCACGAGGTATCATTAGGTCGCGTATTTTGCCAGAATGGGTGCAATAGACTTGGTTGCGCGTCTCCCGCGAGGGAATTTGCAACTTGGATGAGGGCAAGATCTATAATGACTGTGAGTCAAAAACTTCACAAGGCATGTCCATCACGTGCTTCACCAGAAACTTAAAGAGTCAAACTCACAAAACAACCAACTGCTGCAACCAAACCGTCTCTTTGTCGTGCTTGTTTGGTCCAGGTAATGTGAGGCTCTTGAATTGGTCGATTTGAGGCGTGGCTTGGGCAGAAGTGGAGCAACACCGTGCCGGACGTCCTTGTGCAAGCGCGGACCTGAGCATATTCGTAGATCTGAGTGTGGTCGTTGGCTTCAATTGATTACAGGCTTCAGATTCCTTGAGATACTGCAATCATGGTTGCATGGCTGGCATGGCCCCGAATGGAGGACCATGAAATCCTCTACAAGCGGCGGTGAACTCCACGTCCATTTCAGGGAGTGTACAGTAATTACTCAGGAACATTGAAGTGGACATGGCCCCTGCCCTCGGATGAAGGTTTTCTTGCACAAACTCAGTTTGCTCAACTTCCATGTTAGTCAGTCAGAGTGTAGTGGGAAATCATGGACAGGGATATAGTCAGGGTTCTTCCAAAGTCAAGTGCAAACCGCAGGGACATCATATCCTTGCATTGCTTCTGGAGGTTGGGCAACCTGCTTTACGGCCTGCCACTCCATGGTTGCCCAACTAGCCTGGGAACTGGGTTTCAGGTGGGTGTCCCTCCTTCTTCAGCCATCCTTCCACGTCATTTGCCCAGTTGCCCCACGCAACACTAGGTCCCCGCAAGCCACTGGGGCACGCTGTGCGGGCGGACGCCGAAGCCAAGCCGGAGGCTGGGGAGGGGGGGCGATGGGGCGCGGACCCCGGCGGGGTCAGTGAAGTCATCGTGTGAAGTGTGGCCGTTTAAAGCACTCCCAAGTGCAAACACTCATGTGAAATCCTGGTCCCTCAATGTCTCAGTGAATAGTGAACCATGTGTCGGTATGACTAGGTCCACTAAAATTAGATTCCTTGACCAAAATAGGGAATGGGGGTGACCATCCAAACCTGAAACATGGAGTTAACACATCGACACCCAGCGGTGGAAATGTTTAGCTGCTCTGGATTGTAGTGTTCGATTCTGCTTCAGTTGCAGGGCTCAAAGCACTTGGGTGTCGATGAGGTGGAAGGCATCATGATTTCAATTAGATTCAAGTGCCAAGTAGTTTTATGGGGCATGGAATGTGGTAGAGGTGCTGTGGCAAGTGGATGGAACTTGTTGCTGGTAAGCTGGTAGGTTGATATGTTTACTAATGTTGAATCCCTTGATCAGGTCTCAACAAGATAGAAATTGCAAAGCATCAACAGAATCCAATAGCTCAACAGATTGATCGATCCCATGCAGACTTTATTGATGCATTTGTTTGTATTGAACATTATTGTCCATGCCCGATCCAGGATTGTCAGATGACAATTAAGACTTCACATTTAAAACCACACCTCCCACAGTTGAACAATCATTGTGTCTCCTTGGATCCCCAGCAGTAGAACTTGTTTCCTTTTTCACCGCCCGCCCAGGGTCCTCCACGCCAGGCCGCCGCCCTCGCGGAGCACGACGCGTCGTGCGGCGGAAGCGCTTCCGCCTCCAGCGATGCCACCGTGAGCGACGCCGAGGAATGCGCCAGCTTTGTGAGTGCCCAGGGCGACGGAACCAGCGATGCGCACGCTGGTGAGGTCGCTCTGGGTGAGGCAAGATGAGGAGGTTTAGGTGAAGAGTGGGTGAGGGGGTTCTTTTTGTCCCAAGGACATCCTGTCCAGAAAGAATTTAGCAATTTGTTTCAGAACGCTTTCCATCTAAAAATCTCTGGATGCAACAAAGAAACTAATGCTGCTATCGATAAGAAGAGACTTGGCAGAGCTTTAAGGATATGTTTTGTGATTCATTGCTCCAACCACCAAGTCGTTGCTTTGGCGCCGTCTCCCACGGGCTCGCGAATGTGAGCCTCCGTCGCAAAGCACAGGCGAGGGCGAGGCAGAGAAAAGTGTCCGGACAGAACGGATGCACCGCCAACAGTCGCGCATAGAACCTACTTGTAGAGCCAAGAATGGAGTGGAATTGGTGTCAACATGTTTCATGGCCGATGTTGGTTTTGCTCCCAAAGTCTTCAATGGTGGGAAGACATGTCTGGTCTAGTCTAGTTTTTGTTTTCAACAGACAATGCACTATGACTATTGCATAGTGTTCCAGAAGAGAAAGCCAATGATTTTTAAATGTTCTATCAGAATTCGTTTTTTTTTTAATATAGATGTTCTTTATGTTTGTATTTGTAGTGCAGAAACTCTCAGACCCAACAATGAACACGTTTTGATTTGTTCCTTTGACTACTTTGGGTCTGTGCGGTCTAGTCGTGTAGGTCTTTGGTTTGGGCCAACACTCATGCTGGGTTGAATCCAGTTGTTTCAGCGATGCTATTCCCAGAAAAGTCATAGGATTTGTTTGGATCTATGCTTGCAACTCAATTTGCATGTAGGAACGATGTGACGTTTATAATATATCCTGCAGTGTTCCATGTTGAGATTGGTGGTGTAGTTTCCACTGAATTCTTGTGAGACCCAACCCAGGCTCCCACTGCCACTGTTCAAAACCTTGGGCTCGACTGAGGAAGTCATTCATAGGTCGCAGGAAGCACGTCATTTCTGCCCAGCACTTGAGCCCAAAGCTGACAGACGCCGTTTCAAAAACGGCACATGTTATCAAGGGAATCATAACAAAAGGACTCGAATAGACATGAATGTGGCGCGCCATCTCAACATCTGCAATGTTTGAGGGTGCGAATAGTCCATACGTACATACTCCCACCTAAAAAGCCTCTATGTGTTTGACACCGTTCCAAGAAACATCAAACGCCACTGATTCTACCAAAGGTTCGGCTTGGGGATTTGTAACTCAATGCAAGACATTCAGCATCTGGCCACCCATGAGACTTATGGCTACCAGACTCCCTCAACACTCATTACAAGACTCCAAGCGCAGACCTGGCCCACAATCCTGCCGTCCCATGCAGACCTCAGTGATGGAGGGCAGTGACGAGGTGGGCAGAGCGGCAGAGCGGGAAGCACAGGGTGTGTATGTGTGGGTGGGTGGGTGCTGCTTGGAAAATCCGCGGCATGATAGATGCAAAAGATATCCTGGCAAGGTTAGATTCAAAAGAAACATGGAATGTACCAAATTCAGGGTGTATATAATATCTATTATATGTACGACTAGATTAGATTCAGTCGGGACTCACTCCTTCAAAAGGACACTCTGAAAAGCAACAAAGCTTCTTGGTGCTTCTACCAGCCATAATATTGTCCATGCATGTTTGTGGGAGAATGTAGCTTGGTCAACCTTTGGGCTTCTTTGAATGTAACTATGCCAAATCCTTGCAGGGATGTTGAATGGAACCAATAGAGGGTGGAAGTGCAGAAAGATGCGGGCTGGAATTGTGATAATCTAAGACCGGCCTGGGGTAGCCATGTCAAGGGCTCTCATACACTGTGAATTTGTAAATTGAACATATAGTTTAATTTCATTCCTGGACCATTGAAAGGGTGTCCTGGCTGGAGATCCTAAATAGTGTAGGGTAGTCCAGCCAGGACACCCATTGGATGGTCCAGGGGGAGTTCCGTTCACACTCGCCGCACATCGCAACAAAGCTGAGTTCCTCTCACCAAGGAGTCAACTCCCCGGTCTTCCAGCCCAAAACGGACCCACTGGTGGCAACACCCGTGGTTCATGGCCCGGCCAGGAGTGGATCCAAGCGGAACTTGAGCCGCAGGTCGGGTGGAGCTGGCTCCGCAGTTCTGGAGGGTGTAGAAAACATGTAACGAGAACCAAACGCATTTTTTTGCTAAGCACCAGGGTTGGGAGTTGGAGGATAGATTTTTTCGTGCCACACCGTCACTGGTGGGAGTTGGGAGATGTACTCATATCATCAAATTTGTGCAAGCTGCAAGGCATGTCTAAGACTCTAAGACATGAGACATGCAGCGTAGATGTGTGCAGGAACCGTGAGGAAGTCTTTGGAGGATCTTCATGTCATACTGTCATACTGCTGGAGGATGCTGGAGGTAAGTAACTAAGTAGATTGTATTGAACCTTCGAGATATCAGCCAGGATGCCTAAATCCCAGATGTCGTTCATTTGGCAACATCCTGGAACGCTGCAGAGAGCGAAGGGGATCATTCAGGTGGACCTAAATTAGGAAGCAAAAAATAAAGTGTGAAACTCATTTAGACAAGTCCTTGGGTCACTTTCTGCCACCTCTCCATCGATCCGCAGGCGAAGTCTGCCCCGTCTGCGCCATCTCCAGCCGCCCCGAAGAAGGGTGGCAAGGGCCCGAAAGGTCCTGGACCCAAGGGCGATGGCCGCGGTGCCGCCGTGCACAAGGGCAAAGGCGGCAAGGAAGCTGGTAAGGGGCCGAAGGGCCCGCCAGCAGCGAAAGGCAAAGGAGCTTGAGGGGAAAAGGGGTGACATCTGGGTGAAAGAATTGCAGCAAAATCCGAACTCATGCGAAATCCAAGCCGATAGCGAGACCCGGGTCCTCCGTCCACGCGACAAAAGACTCCGCTTCTCAGCTGCGTCCACACGAGCAGGAAAGGGCCCCCCGCCTCCAGGTGGCAAAGGAGTACCCAAGCAGGCGCGGCCTCTTCGGGCATGTTTCCTGCATGTCCATGGCTGTGGGTCATGGCACCGGAACACCTGTTTTTTATCACCAAAAATGAACGGAATAGACTACTGTAGACTACAGACATGGTCAACTTGCCAGGGCTTGGGGCTCCAGGTTTTGACCCATAGCCCCTTTGGTGCGTCCAAGAGCCTAGTTTCTTAGTCCTAGGCCTAGGCTTTGGTGGGCAGAGCACGGAGACATACAGATTCATAAAGACATGAGGATTGAAAGCTCAGTTAGTTGGTCCCTTGTTTCTGTCCTAGCTCAGCGTCGTCGATGGGCAGTATGTTTTGGGGGGTGGGCGGATTTTGTTCCGCAAGGGTTGGAAGGATGTGCAGCGACTTCATGGGATTTCGGACGTGGCGTGATGTGGCGTGAATTGTGCATCAAAACCAGCCCAGGTTGTTTGTGTGAAGTTTGCAAATCATGTCAAGTCAATTAAATTTTTGTTTGCACACGAACCACCGATGAAACACAGCCGGACTCCAGCTTGGCAGTGGAGTTGAGTCTTGGAAACTGGTTTGCATTTCTTGTGCATGGTCACTCTCGGGTTCTTCTACACCCGGCCGAATACGACCAAATGTCATAGATTTTTGAACATTTGGGATTGCTTCAGATGGTCTAAGACTTGGGTCTTGGGTTGTTGGAAACCTCTTTATAGATGGTCACTGATTCAACACACCCCTTTGAAACTTGTTGGCGTGTTCATTCTAAGACTACTAGGTTTAGCCACAACAACTATATAGGTTTAGCAGCAAGTTGAATCCCCTAAAAAGCAGCCGGTTCACGTCATTTAGCAGATGTTCGTTCTGGATGAGAGGTCCCCAACCAACACAAGGATACTCGATGTTCCTTCATGTCTCAGGCCTCCGCGTTGCCCTTAGGGCGCCGCTTATCTGTCCGGGAGCCCATTTGGTGGAAGAATCAGGACAAGATGATATTGGGTCGTAGATCGAAGACACATCGGCAGTGGACACCAAAACCGACATCCAGACACCAAGGAACCGCGAACAAAAGGCCATAGAATGAAGGCAAGCAAGCAAGCAATCCAAGCCAAGTAGTCCGCGGGTGAGTGATGACAATGAAAAGGCCAGGTCAGAAACACTAGAAAGATTTGGAAAGCCATAGAATGGATGTGGTAACCCGTTTTATCAGTTTAGTTTTATCGTTCCAATTTTGTCGGCTTGGTCTTGGGTGTTGGAACCAGTTGAACCTCAAACATGTTGGAACCAGTTGCATGAGGTAGGTAGACAACAAGACTCCAAACAAGATGCGTAGAGTGCAGTTCAGGAGTGACACGTAAATTAAGACGGGAATTAAATGGTATATAATACATATATCAAAGGCAAGCTGCAATGCGAGGTATTTGACATGAGCTGTTCTCTTGCATTGGGTACAAAGACCGGCTATAATGCTGATCGAAAGGAAACAGTAACATTACCCAGTTGAAAAAAATAGAAACATGTCGGACACCCGTAATTTCAAATCCCCCTTTGTTTCTAAATGGAGCTTATTATATACCTTCTCCTATAATATGTACTCAAATGCCCCCAACATCATTTGTTGCGGAGGGCCATTGTGTTTTTTAGGTACCCACCACCCCGAATCACCAAGTTCACACGTGCCCCTCTGCAACGGAGGCCACGCAAAGGCCTCGCCAAACCGCATGGCACAGCGACATGCACCGTTCAATTTCTTTAGCTTGTTGGTCTGATAGAAACAATACAAGCGAAGACTATCGAAAAGACCAATACTGTGAGCAAAGGTTTGGCAAACGGAAAAGGAAGACCCTTCCATAGTTTTGAGCATCCTGGGCAACTTTTTTGTGTGCAACCGTTTTCGGAGGCTCCCCAATATGTAAAAACATGGCCGGAGTATGCCGGAGTTTTTGATTTGGGGGTGGACAGGGGTGCTCATCGTTCAATAAGTACGAGGGATGACGTAGGTACATTCATGACCAAAACACCGGGCTGGGTGAAGAAACTGACGTGTTGACGTCCTGACCTTTTCCATGGGAACTCCACCCCTGACGCCGTCCAGGTGCGCATGCTAACTCCGGGTGAAGCGGCCAGTTGGCCCCAGTGACGCGCAGGGACCGGCAGGGTTGGGAGAGGGGTGTGGGGGGGGGCACACCCCAAACATGACGATGCAGATGCCAGGCCCAATGTGTCAACAATATTGAATCAACACGATATAATCAATATACTGAGAGAAACTGACGGTGTTCTGGACAGATAATTGGTATGTGTTGGTGTGCAAAAAGGCAAGTTATAGCTTGTTTATGTGGTTGCATGAAACCATCTATAAGTACAAGAACTGACGGCTTCCAGGTCAGGGACCCAAGATTTGCAGATATTGGGTAGTATACGGTATACAGTGCAAAACCTTTGGACAAGTGGAAATGAAAATATTTGGACAGCGGTTGGAAGACCTTCACTGAGCTTTGTTGCAAGTGCTGGTGGTTTCCCCAGATGATAGTTCCAACAGTTTCTTCATGAAATCGCCATGCACTTGCTGTGATGAACAAGTTGATCCTTTGGCGTCTCTTTTGGAGCCCAACGTTCCACTCCCCCTCGAGGAGCCGATTTGTGTTGTCTTCCCAGATCGACCGCAAGTCCAACAGTGACTTTTTCCAGGGAGATTGAATCCTGAGAACATTTGAGTTCGTTTGGTGGATCCATTGGCTCTTCGGCATTGTTGCATTCTTCCGCCTTTCAACTTGGCCCTTCCCACTGGTGTATAGGTCGTGGGGAATCTTGGATTTCCTGGTTCATTCTCAGGATTTTTTCTCCTGTGTGAGGGAGATCGCTAATGAATTCTGTCTCAGAAGATCGTTTGGCTCATCCACGTATGTCCATGTCTTTGGTAGTGCATTTGGAGCAGGTTTTTGGGTGTCAACACGGGTCTCAGGTTGTGGTTCATAGCCAGTTGGTGATCCGTTTCCATGTCTACCGTGTACTTCCTCGGTGTTCGTAACGAGGCTCTGGCTGAAGAGGAGGAACCTGGTGAGGTGGAAGTGGACTTAGAGGCCGCCTGGGTCCTTCCAGCAGCGGTCAGTCCTTCCGGCCAATGAATATGGCAAAGACGGGCGTCCGGTTTTTCCGAATAAAACCGGTTAACAGTATAGGAGGAATGGCAGGAACCCTGCTGTGGTTTCCCAGGCTGAACGGCCGAAACGAGACTCCCTGAGTTGAGCCAGCCCCAGGTGTGAAGTGAAGATCCGGCATGATTCGGCCCTAAAAAGGGGAAGAAAGAACTTCGCCAATACGGTTCTTGCGGGAGCAATTTCTGCAGGTGGTGCAGGTCCTGGCGGTCTGAGAACGTCCTTTGAAAGGCTGAACTTCCACACACTGACCAAGCACACACGATCAAATGACGAGGCAATGAGCTCATGTTTGGTCAAGGGTATCCATTTAAGTTCCAAGTAATACTTGGTTGTGTTATGTTCTTTCGGAGCTTGAAATAGACCTAAATTGGCTAAGACTGTCTTGATCTATACATACATTCCTAAGGATGTTTTTCTTGCACTGTGGCCCACTGTGGGCCTCTTCTTTTCTAGATTCTAGCATACGCCATTGTGAGATGTGAGTCACATGGCGTAGTAGAGGGAATCAGAACCACACGCGGGTCATGCATATCGCCCCTGCATGTCTGAAGACCGTGCATCACTTCACCGTTGAGCTATGCAGCTAACAAAAAACGTTGAGCACAGTCATTTGAGGACAGCTCACTCAGATCATCTCAGATCTCACAAGGACTCAGGACAGTGTTTTTAGTCCGCTAATGCAGGCAATGCATGCATCACGATAAGAATGGACAGTGCGACACACACAGCACAGTCAGTTTTCGAGATCGAAGGAACCCAGAAGACTTGGTGCAGGCATGTTCACTTCGGAACATGTCTCGTCTAGTGTCTATATAGTTATTTTGTTTCCACATTCGGAATGTTTCCCTAAGCTCCCTGTTTGCTGGGGACCCAAAGCCAACCACTCCGCTTGCGCACGCGTCCCCTCCCTCCCCCCAAGACCAGATATTTACATTGCCCTTTGCTCCGTTCGTAGCTTCTTGTGACTTATAGCGATGGCCTCGCTCCGTAGCGATGCACTGCTCCGTTCGCTTCTTCCATTCGTGACCGGCCTGCCCTCTCTGACCGAAGCAACCAGGATGAGTCACTGGTCGGTCACTGTCGGTGGATGACTGCATACATAACTTATAACTTTTAACTGTTCCACACATTGGATGTGTGTTTTCCCCACTCCAATCCAGCTGGAAAGTTCGACCTCTATGTTCCAAGCAGAACCTCACCACTCGGGAGTTAGCTTTCACCAGCGACTTCGAACTTGCAGGCCTTACGCCACACCTTCGGCCCGGCCGCGTCCTCGAAGCAGCCCGGGCGCCCGGTGTCTGGCGCGCGAAACGGACGAGCCGAGACAAACGGTTCCTCGCGGAAGGCGAGACAGGTCCGGAGGCACCGAGACAGCTTCCAGGGCAAGGAAGTGTGCCATTTTTTGAGTGTATTTTGTTGTTTTGAAGGGATGAGGATTCCCCGTCACGGAGCTGGGTGCGTGCCGCCACAGCAGATTCGGAGCCAACCCAAGCTGGTCGCCCCACCGGCGATGTGCAGCTCTTGAGGCCACCGAGCTCCAATTCGCGCGTGACGCAAGAGCTGGGAGTGGAGCTTTTGCCACGAAGGGAAGCGCAGAATGTGGCTATTGTGCTGAAGAAGTGCCTTGGATGCATTCACCAGTCTGACTGTAGCTATATGGCTGTGAGTCAAAACCTGGAGCCCATTTCACCCTCCTGGGTTGACCCCCTTAGGAGTCTATTCTGTTCATTATCTTTGGTCACACCCGTGGACCTTCCGACCAACTGTGTGGTGATGGCCGGTGGCCTTTGGCCGGCGACATCAAATGACCATAGTGAACTGTGTGCAATTTGTGTTCAGCTTGTTCATCCACCAAAAAGCATGGAAGCTCCCGAAAGCGTTCCAGGTAGCTGACCAGTGCGAAACATCCAAACCGGTACCGGTGCGCTGAGCCCACCTGGACTCCATTTTTCAAAAAGAGATTCAATGAGGATTGGACTGGACAAGATCTACAATGACATTCGATTGGGTGGCTCTCTTGGTTCTGGTCGCCAGAGATTTGAGGGTTCTCTTGGCCGCTGGGGCTGGTGGACTTTCATCGGTCCTGGCAGCCCGCAGAGGACCGTGAATCCCCCACCAGGGCCATCCAAGAACCGTCTTTTCTGATTTCTCTCGGGACCAGTGCTTCATGGCGATGGACCCGGCACCCCTCGGCAGAGGTTGCGTCGAGACACCTATTTAGACACGGAAGGAGCGCGGGGGAAGACGGGTGACGTCGACGGCAGCGTGGCGTGGGAGGTATAGTGAGAGTCGATGGCGCAATCCGGTGGTTTAGATGGACCTCCAATGAAAAGATATCTTGGGGGTGGTGGTCTACTCTGGAACCACTGTATGTTAGTCAAAGCAAGATACACTTCCCCCAGCGGATTGTCCCAGCTGATGTTGGAGCGCAAAGCCAGCTGAACGAGTGTCACATGTTCTAGCCTACACGCGCCAGTTGTTCCTACCTGGAGCATCCTGTTTGAGTGTCCTGTTTGGAGATCCCGGATAGCAGTGTAGGGTAGTCCAGCCAGTGTAGGGTGTCAACCCGGTACATTTTGGTGAGCGGAAACCCATGATATATGGGCAGCACAGTTGCCGACATGGCGACTACCCTCCCACTCTTGAGACCTACTGCCCCAAATGAAAATTATTACTGAATACTCCAAGATGGTGTGAATTTAGCATCCCTGCTCTATTTCCTGGTGCAAGCTTCCCTGCTGCATGGTCCTGGTACCTTGACTACTAGACTATATAAATCTCATTAAATCTCTGTTGCACACCCCAAAATATAAGGTCCAGGTCAGTGGTTATATTCTTAGCTGAACCAGCCCGTTCGTAGACCTTCCACCCTTAGTAGTGGGAGTGTCAAGAAAGATGGTCTCATGTCATGGCTAAACCATGCTAAACCGATCAATTTAGATACATTCGGGATCATTTGGGTTGGGAACATGCACGGAATTCGGATGTTTTCGCAGATGTTCTGAGACTCATTGGACTCAGCTGCAGGATTAGCTGCCTCTTTGGATCAGCTGAAGGCCGATGACTGCCCGCTGCCTGCGGAGGAGCCTCTTGGCTTGAAGCGGCATGGCCGGGCGTTTACATCGCCACCGGGCGGTGTGCAGGCATGGGAGGAACCGTGAGATACGTGCGAGTCAGAACACGTGGAACAAGGGATCTGCGAAGATACAATTTCCCACAAGGCCAGTGCTACTATAGTTGACTGGCACTAGATTGGCCTTTGTTGCCGCTTCGTGCGACTGTTGTGGGTAATTTGTATGACAGTCATCCGTACTGCACCCGCTGCAGTACGGAGATGGCATGTGGCGATCGCATGTACTTGCAGGAAGGCTTGGCGTGCGTGCTCTACTTCTCTGCATCCTTGCGCCGAGATGCGCACAGAGCGCTTTGACTCTGTAGCAGCAGTCTCTTATCAGTATGTTTGGTGGTGCGCAGGCGTCGCAAATGCTTTGTCTGGGACGTCCTCCCAGCGACAGAAGGCGGCGAAACGTTGTGACAACGGGTTCGTGTTGAGTTGGAGGCTGGATCGACCACATCGACGCTGGCCGGCGGGTGGGCGTGGCTTTCCAGGACCGAATGTGCCGGAAAAAGCTCATCGACGGCGTGTGGCATTCGGTCGCGAGCCCAGCCAATCGCGATGGTGGGCGCGCGGCGCGACGCACCAGTGCAGAAGCAGAAACAAAGCACGGGCCGTGGCGACTCCGTGTGCCCAGGTGCACGTGGCGCTGACGTCTGGCGAGGCAAACAGCGCATAGAAGCCAGAGATGAAGATGTCGAGCCCTTCACGATACCCGTTTGTTATTCGGTGGCGGTTCGCAAGCCTGTGTCTGGTATAGAGGAGAAAGTGCCGAAGTCTCAGTGCCCAACGATCTGTTTTGACTTCGAACTTTTGGTCCTAGCTGCTACAGATGGGGTGGTTGCGTTGCATGTTTCGGAGGCCTAAGATCTTCGGAAGAGGTTTCTCGACGCAGAGGTTGCGCTCCAGACCGGATCGATGAATTCTTCTCTGTAGTGTGCGGACAAGGGAAGCTGAGGACGGATCAAAGGAATGACAGCGTCACGAACGGGGCTTGGGGATGTGAGCCTGAGAACCTGTTTTTGATGAGTGTACTACAAAACATTTCAGAATGCATGATCGGTATTGGTGGCTGATAGCCACGCTTCAATCGGAGTTCGGTCCCGTTTATTTTGAAGTTTGAAAAATATGACATTGACGAGTGGAAGCCTCACTGAAGGCTTCCGCAATAGTCTCACAGCACTCCTCAATCATCACTCACACACTTTTGACCACAAGGGTTGTGTCCAGCAATTGCGGCTAGTTCAAGCGTGAGCTGGACAGTCAGTACAAATCAATGAGCAGTCGAGCTGTGGGCCAACTACCATGTATATACTCATGCTCCCCGTGTCAGCACGCGAGCAACGCCGACTGAGCAACAAGCGCCTAGCGCCAGCCCTAGCGCAATGCTACGTTTCATAGCGGTGGCCAAGTGATTTCTGAACCCCTGGGAACGTCTGCTCTTTTCGGACTTCTGGTATTTGATCTTTGATCTTTTTAAAAAGGAGGCAAAGCAGATCAAAGCAGCAGTGATTGCAAAGCTTCGAGCACATGTAAGAAGCACCTCGCCAAGAAACTCCCCTTTGTCATGGTGTCACGGTATACCTGCCTGATGGAGTATGGATGAAAGTATGGATGTGCTGTGCTGTGACAAATACAAAAGCAACATCAGTGGAGCTTGACCAACACATGCTGTTACAACGTGCTTCCGAGTTCTGGAGACTTGGGGCTATGGACCAGGCGATGGTTGTAGTGTTGCTTCTGCGTGTGCTGCTTTGTCGCGCCGACCTCATGCGCGTGGCGCGGAGCTTTGTGTGCGGACATGTGCGGATAGATTGGAATCTTGCTTGCAAGCGTGGCGGGAAGCTTCGCAGGAAGGGTGCCACTAAATGCTGGGTGCGCAGGCCCAATATGTGCCTAGCGATCTCATAGTGAGCGCTGTGTGCATTTGCGGGGTGGGACCGCTCCATTGCTCGTTGGCAATGGATTGATGGTGCCCTTTGAGACTATGAGGGTCACATTCGAGTTCTTTGTTGGAGTGGAGCGCTGGCTGCTCCCAAGCGCCGGCGCTCTGTATATTCTTTTGCGTGGGGCTGTAGCGTAAGCCGCGCAAACCCGGATTGCCGCACGCCCCTCGATTTGGTTTGCTGGTCAGGTTGCTCGCCAAGTGTGTAGGCGAGCTGTAGCGTTCTGCACTTTGCTTCCACATCGGCGCAGATCATGCCGAATGGTGGTGCTGCTATTGGTCGCTGTGCTTTGCAGCTATATATAAATTCTTGTGCATGGTGTGACTGGCCTTGTTCAGCCCAGTTTGCCCAACAACTTGGAAAGATTGGGCCTGAGCCATGTGCATGTCATCAGGTTGTTCACAGGCAAGAGCCCGTTCAGCACCGATGAAAAAGAAGATTATCCCGGCAAGAGACTGAGTATGAGTGAGTGATCGAGTCAGTGAGTGAATGAGTGAGTGAGTGAGTCAGTGAGTGAGTGAGTGAGAGGGTGAGTGAGAGTGAGAGTGAGTGAGAGTGAGAGTGAGAGTGAGTGTGAGTGTGAGTGAGTGAGAGTGAGAGTGAGAGTGAGTGTGAGCGTGAGCGTGAGCGTGAGAGTGAGAGTGAGTGAGAGTGAGTGTGAGTGTGAGTGAGATGAGTGAAAGTGAGAGTGAGAGCTAGAGTGAGAGTGAGCGTGAGCGTGAGCGTGAGAGTGAGAGTGTGAGTGTGAGAGTGAGAGTGAGAGTGAGTGACTGAATGAGTGAGTGAGTGGGTGAGTGAGCCACGAAATCTGCACTTCGAGGTTCACAAAGTGCTGTGCCTGCCACGAAATCTGCGCTTCCAGGTTCACAAGGCGCTGCCCGTGCCACGAAATCTGCACTGTCACTTTGAGGCTCACAAATAGCTGTGCCTGCCGCGAAATCAACACTGAGAGGTTCACAAAGTGCTGCGCTGCCACGAAATCTGCACTTCAAGATTCACACGCGGCAGCCCTGACAAGGCGCTTCACTGCAGATACCAAAACGCAGCTGTCGCGCGAGACGTCCCCCGATTTCTGGAAACGAGCCCCATGTTCAAACGTCACAATTCACAGCATCTGTCGCAACAATTGAGCGCGTCGCAGATCAACACCTTGTCCAAAGCATGTGCCACGAAATCTGCATATCGAAGTAAAACCTCTCCGATCCGAAAATGCGCACGGAGCCACAACGAGAGCGCAGTCGCGACAAGCGCCCGCCGCGGCCCACCGGATTTTGCGAGCCTGCGCAGTCGAAATGCACTTCGAGGATTTCGAGAGGTATGAATGTACTGTAAATGGCAGCGAGTTAGCCGTCCCCCACCGAGCGACACCTTGATTAGACACCGGTGCTTAACCATTACCGTAAGAGCCCCTAGTGTGACCACACTGCTTGGAGAAAAAAAAGTCACCTGATTGAAAACAGAACGGCAGCTCCTGGGAGTGCAGTTTTTCACGTTCTTTTCATTAGCAATAGGCCTGGATTTTGCTACATAAACTGCACTCCCATATCATTTGGGTCACCTGAACCTGGTAGCAGGTAAGGCAATAATTGCTAACTCTTGGAAGGAGGGGTGCCAAAAACATCGGGAAAACACAAAAACACAAAAGAAACACAAAACACAATATTTCCAGACTCTCTGGAGGGGGGGTCCCAGCCAAGACTCTCTGAATATTGTGTGTGTTTTTTTAGTTTCTTGGTGTTCAGAGTGCTCTCCTGGTAGGGCAGTTTTTTTGACAAATGTTAAGTTTCCTCGCAAATGTGTGTTGTGTTCTTTTGAATCAACATTTGTCAAAAAGACTGCAGTGCCAGGAGGGCATCCTGTTAAGATTTGTCAAGACAACTACACTGCGAGGAGGGCACCCTGTTAACCTTTGTTAAGAAAACATAAGAAAACTACATTGCCAGGAGTGCACTCTGCAGAAGGTTCTGCACTTTGCGGGCACTCCTTGAGAAAAATCCGCTAAAACAGACCAAAAAAACATGTTTTCAGAAGTTTGTCCTCTGGGAGGGTTCAGTCAAGACTCTCATGAATATACGTTTTTGTGTGTTTTTCAAGGTGTTTTTGGTTCTTTCTAGTGGCTGATAAATAAACACATGTATATGTTTATATACACACCTCTCTAGAAAATCTACTTTCCCAGAGGTCCAGAGGAAAACTATATAAATGAACGTTTTCAAACAATTTTTTTCAATATAGAAATGATCAATCCCAGAGATCTGGAGGTAAGTTTGTGCAAAACATTTGTATATATGTGTATATATATATATATTTTTTAAATCTAGACATATTTATTCACAGAGATCCTTTCTTGTGAAATACACAGTTTCTACATATAATTTTTAAACAAATCATCATGCCCAAAGATCTGGGGGGACAGCGTTTGAAATGCACGCTTGGATATTAGTCCTGAATATAGAAGTGATCAATCCCAGAATTCTAGGGAACAACTTTTGGAATAAACACTTGCAATGTAGAAGGCAGTGTTAAATATAGACATTATTATTTTCAGAAATGACAAGGTAAGATTTAAAATAACTGCTTATATACATGTTTTTTTAATACGGAAATTACCATTCTCAGAGATTTGAAGGACAACTTTTGAACAAAAAGGCTTTCAAATATAGTGGTTTAATGTAAAAAATCCAGACAATCCAGAGATGAACAGGAAAACTCTTGAATTAGCAGCGTTAACATATGTTGTTATATATAGAAGGGATCATTCCAGAGATGTAGAGGAAACCCTTTGACATATATAGAAACTTTTATACAAAGCTTTCTTAATACAGAAATGATTATTCCAAATATTACAGTACTTGAACACGTCTACTTGTCTACTCAAAAGCAGTGTTTTGACCTAGTTCCCAGCACTCCCAGGGCAAAAAACACTGTAAAACACATGATTTTATATCATTGTGTCTTAAACTCACACCCCCAGCAACACCTACTCTCTGGAATTAAATTAGACTTGACCAAGAATCAAATTTTCACAATCAGGACATTATATATAAATTATGTTCTAAAAAATTATGAGATTTGACCCTTTAGTGGTTATGCCAAAGTTTTACTATAGTTTACTGAGACTGTAATTCAAATTTAGCTTTTGCAGTGAAGGTACCCTTCTCACACCTAATTGTCTTGCCAAACTCTCACCTTCTATCTCTGCCATCACAAGAGGGCCAGGCTCAAAAGCAACTTGACACTAGACGCTGATAAGCCACAACACTAGTACACACATATCTTCAATCACATTCCATCTTCTAAAAAGGTGCACTCCCACAGCCTGCCACTCTCATTGAAAAGGCATCCTGACCCTGTGGGGCCGTTCTAACCCTTCCAAGCAAAAGCCAAACAAAGCCTTGGGAAGTTGCTGTCGGAGTGAACCAATGAGCCTACAGAGCTCTTTTGGTAAATTGGGCATCCCACTGAAAACAGGTGTTGGCCTTTCTTTCTCAACGCAACATCAGGAATTATGATTGTAGCACCATCCCACGCCCAGTGAAAAGAATCATTTTCACCAACCTTGGTGGTGGAGTGTCGCAATATGTGGATAGTGTGTACACTTTAAGATGGGGCATTGGGGGCCTATGGGGCCCACTGAGCGCTCACAGGATCTCTGGTTTGCCCGTAGCCTATCTTCCACTTAGTGGATCCCAACACGAATGGTGGCGGTTGGGGGATTGATTTGGCAAGCACATGATTCACTTGATGAAGAGTTGAGATTTCTGGGGTCGACGTCTAACTAGTGACCACATGTTAGAGTTATATAATTTACCTCCAAATATGGGTCAATTCACTCAACTCTGACAGCTCCATGATTTGGTGCATAATTACAGTGGATATCAGTCAGATGAGATCATATTGATGTGGTCGGAAAACCAGGCCTGTGTGTTGTTTGTGCCCTCTTCCTCTTCCAGTTTCACTACAATTTTCTGATACATGGACCACACATGGACCCCATGGGCTTTGTCCTGGCCTGGTGACCCCTGTCTCGTCGGATTCTCCGGTCGCCTTCGGTCTCCGAGGTGCGAACGCTTCATCCAGGTCTTGCCGGCGCCAGAGCTCTTGCGCCCGCTGGCGGAGTACAGCAAGGATGTCTCCAAGTGCCTGGGCTAAGGTACTTTGCCATGTGTTTCTTTTGTTTTCTGGCCTGTTTGAATTTGGTGGGAGGGTTGCGCTATGAGGTGGCTCCTGGCGGGTTGGTGGATGGAGGATGTGAAGGCAGTGAGGGTGTGGGGTTCTACATGCTAGTGAGATCATGTTCCGGAACGAGGGCCTGATAATGCATGCACGGACTCGTAGCCGCCGTAGCCGTACAGTACAACCATTTCCTTAATTAAACCAAAAACGATGTGATATATACCAATTCAATGTTCTCTATGAACTAGTAGTATATAGGTATTGTGTCTTCATGTTAGATTGCTGGGCGTCAAGGTATACAACGTATTTGCCACTTGAAGCTAGATCATGTTTGAAACATGCTCGGTCCGCAATGCTCTTCCCTTGACTGCAGCTAGTGCATTGCCTTGGAAGCCTGACTTGGCACGGGTGAAGGAGACCCTGGCAAGCAACGCAAAGCCGCCCTCCGCAAAAGGCTCTCCAAAGGTCTTGGTGGGTCCAAATGGCTTGAACCTTCCTAGCTGGCAGAGAGGTACATGTGCAGAGTGGCTATTTCTGCAGGTTTGCCATGATTCGTGGTCGAAGACACGCCATAGCTGGTCTTATTCCTTGAGTTCCTTGCAGAAGACCCATGGCTCTGGCAGAGATGTCCAAAGGTAGCTGTTTCAGGCACTCCGCAGTCCAAGAGTTGGCGAGGTGCGAGGTCGCCTGGATCATGTGGAGGAATGGCAACTTTGATCCATTCACCGCCCAAAAAAACCGCCATGCTGTCCCATGGATCGTCTTTGAATGGTGAAGTTGTGGATCTTGTGAAGCCCAATGATCTTGTTCGGAGTCTTTCATGGCAGCATTGCAGGCAGCCTGGGTTAGCGACCAGACCAAGATCTCACAGGAGTTGATACTGTTAACCTGACATTCTTTCTTGCGATGTCAAGGTTTCTCAGCCTGAAAGCCGAACATGACTGCAGAGATGGAATATGATGGAATATTATTTGAACTGGACATGTCAGTTGCGACAATCAGACTCTACCTGTCGACTATCACATCGTCATCAGGGCAAAAATATACTGTTTTTTACCGCTAGAAAAGCGCATGCCGCTCACTCGCGCTTGATGTTCCACACCTTTGGCCCTGGCCCTGGCACCCCAAACCGTTGTTTCGTCGCCACCCACGAGTCGTGGCTCCAGCTCGGATTGGCTCCGTCCAAGGCTACGGGACATCGAGCGCGACTTGCTGCCCTTGGCGAAGCTCACGCGTCTCCGAGAGCGGCTGCAACTGTGACCTGGTCGATGCGGCGAGGGGAGCGACGGCGGGGGCGGCAGCGTTTGCGAGGGGTGTTATATGGGGTGGGCGGCAGCTGAGCGTAATAAACCTTTTTTGGGCAAGAAAAGGGTGGCAAAGAGTGGTAGAAGTGGTAGAATTATTGTGACTAGTGGGTTTGTTAGTTTTTCATGTCATAGCGTTGGCGAATGTGTTCAGACATGTAAACTTGATGAATGATCCGTGGGAGTTTCCTCAGCTTGAGCCCCAAACCCCCAGTCTTCGGGGAAGAGCAAGCTGCGAAGGCTGTGGCTCTTCAAGACCTTGGAGAAGCGGCTCTCGGATGCCCTGCAGCCGATGCGGATCGTGCAGAGCGCCTGCGCGGAAGTTCGCAAGAGCTCAGTGCTGAGGAGAGCAGTGAGACCCGGTGTCTCTCGGTGTTGTTTGATGTTTTTTTGTTCATGTTTTTTCAGTTCGTACGTGATAGTATATATAGGTATTTGGGGTGGATGAAGTTGGTTGTGTCTTCTGTCTTCCCTCACCCGCCAAGACTTCCTATAAATGACGGAAGGACCACCCCAGTTTACTCGCAGCCTATAGTCAAGCACCCCCGTCGCGGCAGAGCGAATCCGAAGATGAAGATGTGCTGGAAATTCTACGTGGCCATGTCCTAGGCTCGGCACTCTTAAGCAATATTGAATCATTGAATCTTTTTCCTCAAAGCCCCGCTCATTGCTTCACTAAACTCACAGAGAGGATCGTGTGTAATATGAAATATATGTCCTATAATGGCCTATATATCCATCTATATCCTTGCAGGGTCCCACCCCGCTGGGTCACGCACCGATCGGGTTCTGCACATCTTCCAACCGGCAGCCGAACCCAGTTTCAAGCGCCAACGGTGCTGAGCAGTGCGGAAGGGCTCGTTGGCTTGTTGACAGCTGGGTTCATTCGGACCCTAGGTGGTACGAAAGATACTTGTACCATATGATTCCAAATGAGTCCAAATGATTCTTCCTTCGCCGTTGAGGTATTTGTGTGACGCAGGGTTCTCATAGTTTGCCTTTCATGGGGTAAGGGGGTACACGTTGTCCTCCTCCGCTTGCGACGGCGAGGAGCTTGCTGCAGATCATCGAAGTGCTTTTCAACTATATCAACTATGGCCTTTTGGATGAACATATCAAGTGTGCTTTTGGGCCACGGAGATCAAACGAACAAATAGAAACGCCTTAGTTTCTTCACTCGGTTTCATTCATCTAACCTAGCTACCTGGCAGGCCTGGTGTTTGTGCAAACGAGCGAAAACCATCGAATACAATTGTTCAAGAGTTGCGTGGGTACCAGTACTTTGTCTTCACCAACAAAGCCCTCTTCAAAGGCTTATAGGTGTGGATGAGCTCAGCCAGGATGTCATGGATCTCATCCAGCCACGGCAAACACATGCAAAAACCCTGTGTGAACCCCCCCCGACCGCTCCGACAGGGTCCAGGTTTGTGGTGACCAGTCCCGAGGTCAAACCCCGGCCAAGGGCGAGGGGCGCTCGACACGGCGGAGGGTGGACGTGCAGAGCCTCACCCACTTAGCCGCTTGGAGGAACGCAGACACACCTCGTCCCAGCGGCCCAGATGTGTTGGTGACACCCTTTGGCGTCAGCATTTGGGCCCGGAGGCTCCTGCAAATCATATTAATGGCCCCTCTTTCGGGTGTGGAGTCTCGCATGATCTAGAGTTGGGAACCCAATGGAATACTCATTCTTTGTCCCGTCGTTTTGAGAGCTGGAGCCACCCGAGTGAGACGCTGGAGCATAGCGGGCGAGACAACCTCGTGAGACGGTGGAGCTGAGAGAAGTGGAGCCGAGAAAGATGGATTTTGGGGGAGATGGAGCCGAGAACTGGTGACTGGATGTCTCGTCCAAGGCTTGGTGAAAGTCTGGTGAGAGGGTGGGTCGATGTGCCCATGTGTTGAACGCAACACGCAACTGTCAACCACCAAGAGTTCATGACATATTGGACTATAAAACCGATCCAACCAAGATAGAACCGATATGAACTGATTGAACAAACAATTCAGTATCCATATAGCTCAGTCCCAGAGCCCCCCCTTGAAATCCACCTTCCAGACCCACGCTCCAACAAAAAAGAAACACCGACACTGACAACCCTTGCAGACGTCTCAGACCCGCCAAACCTGCAGGTGGAGACCCGCTCGGACCCGGGCCGTGCGCCGTTCCCCAAGTTTCACATGCTCCACTTTTGCCGCTGCGCCGCATCGCTTCCTGTGGGGAGGTCGACCCGAGTCGAAGCCAACTAGAGGGAGGAAGGGAGGGAGGGAGGGAGAAACAGGCAGACCCGGAAGAACAGAGGCTCAGAGGAAGAGAACCTCCGAAAGGGTGGGGAAGATGTGGAAGGTCAAGATGTCGGACCCGCACCAGACGGAACTGGCAGTGCGTTTCCGCAAAAAACCCATGCAGTGCTTTGATACAGCAAGCTGACCAGCGCTTTGGAGCAACTACTACGTACGAAGATGGTGTTGAAATGTGTTGAATAATGGTATTCTGACGTTGCCTAACCAGCCTCATCACCAGCAAAACTATAAGGGGTATGGGGTGATTTTAGCAGCAGCAATCTGTAGAATGTCTCACATGGAGTGATTCACTTGGACATCAACTCATGTTGAGTGCTTTACCGTGGTTCACCTGAGCCGTCACTGGACAGCCTGGTGTGGATGCTCAAGATTGGCAGTTCAATGTCCATGATTCCTCTGAAATACGAATAAGAATCCCAACTGCTGTTTGACGAATGCAAAAGCAACGTCACACAAAGCATTGTCAGCTTCGCTGTGGGCAGGTGAGGTGCTCATCACAAAAGAAAAAGCAGCTGCTTCATAATGCTCTATATCTATAGAAGAAGAATGCCCAGCATTTGTTGTCATGTTGTCACCTGTTTGATATTGTTTCTGTGATCACAAGTGGGTTTGTTTCTTTCGTGTCAATCCGGCAAGAGTTGACATGTGTGTGCCAGTGACCGCTCCGAAAAAGGACGAATCGAAGGTGGGTCCAAGAAACGCAACCCCAACCAGGAGGGCCAGGACCATCCGAGGACCTTGAATAGCCAGGACCCTCCAAGGGGTGTTTCTTCTTCATTCTTCCCGAGGAAGGGATGGCGAAGAAGGGGTGCCCATCCACCAGTGGGTTTGGTTTCTCCATGTGTCTCCCAACCCAAAAAGAACATGGTCTCTAGATATGTGAATTGAGTCGTGAGTGAACCGTTTGGGTGCTTTGCCATAGAACAACAAGCACTTAGGTACCCAATTACCCAAGCAGTCCAGAACACGAAGTGCAAGTCTATAGGTGTCCTTTCTCATGCCTGCCCTTGAGGTATCAAAGACCTGCTCAAGCAGCACCCCGATTTTACCATGGCCCAAGTGGAAGAGGATTGGCCGAACTGTAAGAGTCGATCATGTTGGGACACTCGGACCCTCCATTTGCTCGGACCCTCAAGGGTCGGGAGAGGCCCTATTGCAAGTCCAAAAGTGGGTGAGCTTTGGTGAGTATATAAGTTGGGTCATGGAAATTCACCCAGGGGAATGGTTTGCATGGTGGCATGGTGTGTGTTTTTGTTTATTTTGCATGTCCCTTCCATGAAGAACCAACCCGCACAGTTTGGAGGTTGGTTGAGCTCCAAGAGTTCTGAACATTTGGCTCCAAGAGTCTCTGTAGAACTTGTGTTATGGACACCCACCAAAAACCAACGCATGCCGTGCCGGTGCTCTCGCGTGGTTCGCGCCGTCCTCCGCACCTCCCATTCGTACCGGTCCCCTGACTCCGCGTGGTTCGCGTGTTCCACGGCCAACGGCAGGAGTTGCGACACCTGTCGGATGCCTCCGTGGTCAACCTGGCGCACGAGCCACTTGGGCCTTCACGTCGCGCCCGTCCGGTGCGAACCCAAGCTCCACGAGTCGGTGGGTAGGGGCACCGGGGGCATCCATTTTGAGGCGAGTCAGCGGGAAAAGGTCTGGCGACTGGAAGCGATGTGTATTGAAACCCAGAGATTTGCTGGAAGGAAAATAGACCCAAATCCATTGGGTTGGAGAGGGTTCCCTATAAAACTATATTGAACATTTAAACTACACATCCAGTATAGTGTTGGGCAGTGGATGTGTGGAATCCAGCTACAAAGGTTGGTCGAGTGCCTTAAGGGTACTGTGACGAGAACGTGACCATCACAAGTCGTGGCGTGTTCAAAGGGAACAGCAAGTGTCTCAACTCAGACCATCCATGGGACTCGAATATACAGATACAGTTACTCCATTTTGCGATGTATGGTCCTAATTGGTAACTACCTGGAGTCTCAAAATACCCCGGAAAATGGGTACAGTCATACCTGTTGGTTGGTTTTTTTTGATGGGGTCATGTCCTGTTTTCTAAGGTACCAACTGCAGGGTCCAGGTATATGGATGGTTTGGGCAAGTAGACTCGGATTTCCAGGCACCTTTCCCTGGGAGCAGGGGCCAGAGGGGAGGGGAGGGGGGATGTGAAGAGAAGCTGTTCAGCGCAAATGGGCTTTGTACTTTTATAGGAACACCTCCCACCGTTCTGGACTACTTTCATTATTGTCCTTCTTCCAGGGGGGTTCTTGTAGGGGTTTCCCTTTTTTCGAATGCACACCCACATGATCCCAAAGCTTTTCGCTGACCTGCAAGTGATGCTTTGGGACTGGTAACTTCTTCTTATCCCACGAGTGTCCAGGACGATGTCCATTGGATCATCCCCCGGCACAGGCGGCACAGGCCGACATGATACCCTTTGATCCCTTGGCGTGTCATACTTCGGACATCTTCGGACTGTCACTGGTGGAAACACTGATCATACCTGACAAGTGTTGAACATTCGCCGTTGATGCAAGGCTATGTAAGGGGAACATGGGCTGAACAGCAGACATTGTCAGAGAAGCACATGTGAGAGTCTCTTCAATATGATCAGTATTCACCCTTTGGAGAAGAACCAATAGAGTGAAACCCCTTGAACCGGGGGTGTCTCCTCATTGTACCCAAACACTCAATGCAAATATGACTTACACCCTGGGGGTGGGCATCGGTCGTCGTTGCGGGTCACTGGCCCACATGGAGCATTTGGAAGTTTCTACCATTTTATACATCCATATATTAAAGCTATTAGAAACAAGAAGCTACTAGGAACAAGTGCATCGCTTCTAGTAACAAGTGCCTTACTACTCTAGTAGTAACAAGAAGCTATTAGAAACAATATAATGATATATGAGTCATTTCTGCATCGACCGAGACCCAAGGAAGTTGGCCCTAGGCCGCTTGCAGGAGGACTTGCAGTTCGTGAAAACAGTGCCCTGGCGACGATTGGGACGAGTGGTTTCCACTCCACACTGAGATGACGTTGGAACACTGCGTATAACATCTCACAAGGGGATTTGCAAGAGTTGGATGAATACGGTAATATCATGGAATCATATGGAATATCATGTAATATCCCAGATCGTGATGGATAGTACCCAGATCATGTATGCTCTATTAGTAGCCGGCTAGTTGATTGATTTACAGCATGTTCCGTAGATCATCCTCAGGAGCTGCACAGTCACAGGGAGGACTACCAGAAGGTGGGTCGGCTGTCGCTCTTGGTACGGGTGTTTCTTTGCTTACTTTCTTTGGGATGAGGCGGACACCAGATGTTTTAAACACATGGGATGGGACAACAAGGTGTTAAACACTGCGTGATGTTTTGAACACAGTAGCCGCTAGAGAGATAGGAGATACCCGCGGCGCGCAAACAGCGAGCCAATGGGGCGGTAGAAGTGTCCATGAAAATTCTAATTTAAATCAATTTAATTCTAATTCTTGTTTCTACTAGCTTCTTGATACTAGTAGTAAGGCACTTGTTACTAGAAGCTTCTTACTACAACTGACATGGTATCCACTTGAGATACATGGATCCCTTTTCTGGACGGCTGTCAGGCGCGAGGTGATCAGGAGTCTTGGCAGCAAGAAGCGACCAGTTTTCGCTGTTCGAGTGACGGTCAGCTATACAAGGTTCATAAGGAGCTTTTCGCAGCAAACATGGGCTGACTCCAATGGTCAGGTCTTGCTTTGGGCACCACAGTACGGGGGTTTGAGTCGTTGGTCATTTATATATGCTCAATTTCGTGGTGGTTTCCTGAGGTCCGACAAATGATTCCCTGACAGCGAAAAAACTTGCTTGCAACCACTCACACAAGCTAACTGCCCCTCTGCATAGATGGCACTGTGATGCACTGTGCATTCATCAATTCAACAAGTGCTGCTAAACATACCATTAGTCGTCATTGCTTAAAACGTTTCTGCGACCTCTAAACCATTAACCACACTTGACATCACCTCTTGATATTCTACAGATCTTTGACTTCCAATGCAGTCAATGCCTTCCCCTATCACCACCTCTGCTTTCCGCGACTTCCTCCACTCAGGAGCTCCCAGCCTCACTCCCGGAGCCAACGGAGCGGATGCCAAGCATCGATGAGGTGCCGGAGAACTCCAGCGCCGTGGCCGCAGGGCCGAGCGAGGCACTGGTGCCTCAAAAGGGGGGGAGGGTAAAGCTGCACTTCGCAACAACGATATGGCGGAGATGTGTTCGGTCAAAAATACAGGGGCGGTTTTTTTTTCTGCAGAACACTCCGAGGCCCGGGCGAGATCCTTAAAGGTAAAACAAGGAAGCAAATCGCGAGTGTGTGGATCACGAAGAGTTTGGTAGGGACACAGGGGCAACTACGAATATTTTCCAAGTCTAATTCGATGGAATTTCTTCCTGGTGTCAGCATAGAGTTCCAAACTGGCATTGACACGAAGAAACCAAACACGAAAAGGAGAGGAAGGATTGAACGAACCACAGAAACCACCAAGTCGACCAAAGTTAAAGTTGGTCAAGGTGCTAGCATGCTTGAGAGGGTGTACCTTGATTCCCTTCAAGACTGTCAATCATTTGAAGCGGGAGCTGAATTGGCAGGCTGAAAAAGGGGACCGGTTTTGGTCAACTCGTCCTCATGTACCCATCTCCCCCTCATGCCTCCAATAAGAAACCTCAGTGTGCCTACCTCCAGGTGGCCCGCGGTTCATTCCGTTCCAGCCAATCGGTTCTGCTCTCCAAATGCACACATCCAACCTTTAACTTTACAGTATTTATATATACGCATTGGATCCACATACCTTCTCAGAAGGTACGACTGGACACCCTCATGTCATGGCCTCCCCATCATTCGACAGCAGAGATTCAACGAGAGTCGTCTTAATCCTTGGTGGACAATCAATCCCGAAGTATATTTGAGGAACAACATAGGAAGTGTCAATCACTTTCACAAGGGAACACTCATGATTGCGCAGCAGAAAACTGAAACCATCAGAGACCACTCAAAGTGGACATGTCCAAAGACACTGCTTTGCAAGGAACACAAGCACCTCGGGGATTTACTCCGCTGATGGGCACATTTTCTGTTGATCTTGAAGCCTCTTATTATACAGCAACCAGGACATTGGGGAACAACCAGGAGTTACTTCGTATAGCTTTTAAGTAGCACTCCGGTCATCTTCCATGAAACACTCCAGCATCTGATACCAACCCCAAACACTCCATGTATAGGCAAATCTTCACCACGTGGAGTCTCTGGACTTCTTGAACCAGAACCCTCAACTCCCTCTCCAACATCACCAGAACTCCATGACCCGTCACACATGGCGTGCCCCTGGAGCGCCCCGGCCGCCCAGGCCCTCCCGTGCCTCCGTCGCCGCCCCCGGAAGTGGCCCCCGAACCGGTGATCGATGCTCGGAGAACCAGCTGGGGTTCCGGGGGTGAAGAGATGGGAGGAACTCTTTCCATATGACAACGGGACGAAAGGGATGGGTTTTAGTTCGGAGTTTGAAGGCTTTTTGAAGGCCCCGTTGGGTATTGACGAACCCGCCGCCGCCGCAACGTGGTCAAAAGGCCGCGGATTCCACATCCACATGCACTCGTCCATCATCCGCTCTTTGCCAGACGTACTCACTCATCACTGTGTGACTGGGTGTTATGGTGTTCAACGCCGGTTTTCACATGTTTTCACCCTGCCAAACAAGCAGGACGAGCTGTGTCAAAACCTGTGAGGACGTTGTGAGTTGTGCCAAGACTTCACTCTTGGCCAGATGCCTTGTGCTTCACTTGGCAACCAAGCTCAAAATATCAGGCAAGATTGAGGCAGGCAGAACTTGAAGTCCAAAGCAGGTTTGTATCAGAACTATTGGACCTCTGTATACGGGAAGTTTGGCCTTGGAGATGTCGCTAGTGACCACATAGCTAAGTGCTTTCGTTCCGTGGCAGCTGGAGTTGCGAGAAACAGTGGACAAGAATTTCAAATCTACTGCACATGCAGATGTCCTTTTGCAGCAAGTATGCCACGACACCATAGACGTGCAGAGCTTCATTGGCTTACAACGCACTTCAAGAGAACTTTGGACACCTTCAAAGTCTTTGGTTTCGTGGTAGGAAGGAGATCGATCTTGGCATGGCAGATAGGACTTGATCTGCCAGGACCTTTCACAAACTCTTCGGGGTGGTTGAAGAATAACACCAATCTCAGACTGTCCTCCCTTTCTTTCACATTCCGAACGACCGTGGTTTGCTTCGCCATGCCTTCGCATGGCCTTCCGCACCGTGGCACGCGGCCCTTCGGCCTTCCGCTGAGGAGGAAGACCCCGGACTCGGCCCTTGGGTGCTGGTCGATGACGTGAACGGCACGGAGCTTTTTGAGATCTTTGCTGATCCGACGCTTGGGAAGACACCGATCCGTGGGGTTTTCGGCGTGGATCTTGAACCTTGCTCCAGCACTTGATTGAGCACAGCACCCGATTCTACAGGTTTTTTGGTCGTTGGATTTTGCTTTTTGATTTCAGGTGGGGACTCTCCCAGAAAAGAGTGATGAAGCATATCTAGCCGGTGGAGTTTGATACAGGTTGTTACCTTCAGGTATTCATAAAATACAGTACCGGGCACTGACATGCACTGACCCATGTTCAGGCTGTTGGGGATGTTGGACACTAAGCCGCACGCTTTGAGCATCAACGATCGTTTTCGGTTTACACAGCTGGGTTTTCCAGTTGCCATCGTGCCTTTGGTTTGATAGTTATCATGTATCATTCGTGTTATATCAAGTCGAAAATATACCCCATCAGAACTCATGGCTAAAATCACAATATAGTTATGTGTCATAGCTTTAGGGTTGCACATGTGGACAGGCGTGGCTTGAGAAGATGGCTCAGGAAAGTGTTTTGTATATGTTGGTAATTCCTGTTCACGGTGTTCACCAAGCCAGAGCAGGATATCGAGGTGCATAGAGGTGCCTGGTGGCCTTGGAGACTGGGCAGAAGCCCGACCCGAAGCCGCGCCCCTCGCGATTCGAGACTCGGAATCACTCATGGAGAATTGGATAATTAAACAATAAATATAAAATAACTATATATATATATCATATATATATATATATGACCACCTAGGTCTTCCTAGGGTTGCTCTTTTCTTGCCTTTGGAGAAATAGTTGCTTTTTGATGTTCCATCAATTTTCCATGAATCAGCGGCAGTTCTTGTGTTTTGGCTTCATGGGTGTTAGGAGAGGCCCTCGTGGGCATGTATCTGGAAGGAATCACAGGGTCACAACCTCCAGTGCAAGAATGATCAATCTTGGAGGGAAGTGGAAGTAATGCCACCCTGAAGACTCTTGAGTCAGCTTCCCGTCATCTCTTTTTCCGCTCGATGGCACGGCTCCGCTTTGCATCCCACATGACGAGCTCCTGCAGGTGGCACTGGCAGGTTTATACATTTTGTTTGCCTTTCAACTTGTGAGCCCTGCAGGTGTGTATGCATGCATGCATGTATCGTCTCCTTTTTGTCAATTTCACAAATGCCCATGTGGCCACCAAAAGCATTGCAGCATGCCAGCACTTGTGATCTTTGATGGGCTCAATCCCACTCTTGGCTCCAGTGCTGAACCTCATACAGCCTCAGGGAAGTGCTCCCGAGCTGTTGCTGCTTGGTTGCGCCGGCCATGGTGGCGGTCCCCAACCAAGTCAAAACGGGAGTCAAGAAAGAAGTTGAGGTAGTGAAGAAGGAGATGCAGCCACCTCCCACGCCACCCTCAATGGTTGCTGCGCCCACTCCGAAGCGCCAGAATTTTGACACTGTCTTGGCTGACACATGGGAGGAATGCAGGGCAGTGAGGGAGCTTGTTCGCAACCATGGAGGCTTGGTGCGGTGGTTGTCTGAGAAGCAGGTGAATGTCATCAACCTGGAGACCTTAGGCTATAACGCCAGTGTCATGTCCATCGTTGCTGAGTGCTACTGTGCCTCCACAAAGGTTGTAAAGGCACCACGGATCGACTACTTGAAAGCTCAGGCAAAGGGCTTCAAAGGTGTTGAGTTCAGTGGCTTTCAAAGTTGGTGTTGATTCCATTGATTCCATTGCATCTGTGGGGTGAGTGTAATTGGACCCCTTTAGGTCTACAAGCTTCGAACTCTGCTGAGTGCTCCGTTTAACCCAGTCAAGATCCATCACGACGCCTGGGCCATCAAGAAACTGTTCTCCTACAGTTTGAGAAGGTCTGGTGCTGACACCCGGAGCTCTCAGGATCACAGTCCTCAGCGAAGGGTAGCTAGGATTCAGCTTTAATCCTGCAGTGCTTTGTTATTTTGTTACTGCTTCGTTTCTCTTTCAGCCTTTTGGACTGACCTTCTCAGAACTAAGGCACTTGGAGTGGCAGAATACTATGAGGTCCTCTTCCGTCATTGGGGCGAGCAAATTCGGGCGATGCAAGCTGAACGTCAGCGGAAGATTGCGGAGACTGTGGAGACAAAAGTTGCTGCAGTCCATGAGGTCCTTGAGATTCCGGATGATGATGGTGACCTGATCGAACTGGAGAAACGTTCTCTACAGCAGGCACAGCGTGGCATTGTGTTGGAGGACATGGAGGTGGTATTCATGGGATCCAGCACCACGCAGTCCACACATGCCACCAATGTGGTGGGAAACAATGCAGTCAAGGAGGAGAAGACTTCTTTGGTGGCTGGCAGCGAGACTAAGCAGACTGAATCCTATGATCAAAGGATCAAAGCCATTCAGCTCCTGGCTTTGATCGCAATTACTTTCTTCTTTTGTTTTTGTTAATTTTCACCACTCTACAACACAATATATGAGCAATTGTTTGAGGCTGGCCATTGCCAAGAGGAAGGCTGAGGCAGCAAAGCCGCCTGACACCCCATGTTCTGACTTCACCGCCACAGTCCCTTACGATGCTGATGCAGCTATGGATGCCTACTCCAAGTCAGAGGCACCCCAACCACCAGCCGAGGAGGCGGAGACTGACAAAGAAGCATTGCTTCGTGCCAAGACCCTTCGGCTGGGAGAGTCAGAGCCTCATCCGTCCACCCCTACCACAGCTTTGGAGGTTGAATCCCAATCGCCAGTGGATCCATTGCTCTTTGATTCTCAACCGGTGGTTGGTGATGTGCTATATGATATGTTATACCCTCCTGTAGACTCCGACTCGCAGTTTCCAGACATGATGCCTCACAATGCTGAGCCTGAGGGCCAGGACCGTCAGGAGGATGCATTGGAGAATGAAATTCCGGAAACGACACCCTTGCCACAAGCTTGCCCACAACACAGCAGTCACCAGGAGGTGGCTGTGGAAGAAGCCACTGAAGCACCTGGTGCCAGTGAAAGCATGCCAAAGCCTTCTCTCAAGGAAGGTCCTCCGGAGCATCCAGCAGCCGAGGCAGGTGCAACACCGAGCCCCACTCCAGAGGAGAAAGGTGCACCCCCCGAGAAGGAGGCGGAGGCAGCTGAAAGAGCTGCAACACCATGCCCCACTCCACAGGAGAACGCCGCACCCCCCGAGAAGGAGGCAGAGGCAGCTGAAAGAGCTGCAACACCATGCCCCACTCCAAATGAGAACGGCACACCCCCCGAGAAGGAGGCAAAGGCAGCTGAAAGAGCTGCAACACCATGCCCCACTACTGGGGAGAAAGGTGTGGAAGTGAAGAAGCTGATGGCAACTCCTGAGGGAATCAAAAAGGAGGAGGAGGATGATGATGATGTGAAATTTGTCTCGGCCACGAAGCCCCAGCCTGGTGACAGCAGCCATAAATCTGAGGAGATCTTGGGGAGTCTAGAGGCAATGCTCCAGCAAGGCCTGTCTCTTCAAGATTCCATTGTCTTGCTTCGTGCTGACCTCGAACAGCAAGGCCTGTCTCCAAAGATCCCGCTCCTTTCCAGGATTTCCCAATTCCGGCAAAAGAATGCCACTGCTGGTTTGGGGGAGGAGGAGGAACGGGAAGAAAAGGAAGGCCGCCTTGAAAAGGGCAACAGAAAAGCCAGGGGCAGGAAACCAGCAGGGAAGGGGCGGAAAAGTCGAAAAGGAAAGGGAAAGGGGAAAGGCCGTGGGAAAGGGCGTGGGAAAGGCCGTGGGAAAGGTGGAGGAGGCGGCCGGGCAGCTCCTGCTGGCTCTGCTTTGGATGAGCCCGAAGAACTTGAGGGTGAAGATCCGGCCATGGAGGTTGAAGAGACCCGGCCAGCGGCCAAAGCCAAGACAGCTCCCAAGGAGAAGGCTCCCAAGCCCAAGGCAAGTCCCAAAACGAAGGCAGTTCAGAAGGCAGCTGCCAAGGCCAAGGCGAAGAGCAGTAGCTCGAAGCCCAGTGCATCAAAAGATGCAAAGGAGGAGGAGGAGGTCGAGGTGCCGAAGCCCAAGCGCCAGCGGACTGGAGAAGCCAAGTCCTTTGCCCGCCGCGCATGCCCGACAACATCCCCAGCCAAGTTCCGCTGGCAAGCCATCAAGGATGTTTTCAAGCACACTATTGCGCCGCAGCTTCTTGATGCTGGTGCGATGACTCTGTACAGCTGGGAGGACTGCTGGCTCGCTTTCTTTTTGCAACGGGTTCTTCAAGCCCCCAAGCCCAATCCAATAGAGATGAGATGAGGGTCAATAATTCAATCTGTCTCGTACCTTCTCAGGAGCCATGGTGGAGCCATTGTATGACGGCCTTTGCAGCTAAGGGCCCTCTTTCTGATGAAGCTCAGTTCTTGGACGTGGCCGGAGCATCCGTGAGTGGGTTCATGACTTGGGCTAAGGACAGCGGGAAGCTATGAGCTGTCTAGGTGACGTTGCTTTTTGGATTTTTGGACCACAGCTTCGCAAGTCTCTTGAGCCATGCTAACTATATATATAGTAAATGTTTAAACTTTAAAGAGTCAAGGTATATACGCAAGCTGTGTATACGGGAGTGTCTGCCAGTATGTGATGCCATGCTGGTTCAATCTTTAGGGGTAGAGTGTGTTCTATCACATTCATGGAACAAGTGCAGAACACTTGTGCGCAATAGACCGGCTATCAGCCTGGGAAAGTTCAAAAGGTACGCGCTGCACAAGATAAATCGATTAGTGTGTTGTGCAAACAAATCATCGCAGCATCCGGCCAGGTCATGTACCAACTCCGTCGTGGCCAGATCGGGCTAGCCAAGTTTGGAGTTGGTGCTGACTACAGAGATTCAGGTTTATCTGGCTAGTCTTAAATTGACTCATTCCACGGCAGCTTGAGATTCATTGATGTAGCATGCTCAAGCCTTGCAAAGACTAACCAACCAATGACTGCATCCGCAGTGCGTGGACCAAATCGCAGTTATCACTGTGACAGTTCTCTTGGGGTTTGGTGCGATGAAACCCGATGAGCTGGATCTGTTCTTCAAAAGGATGTTTGCCCTTGGAACTCCAAAAGCCC